AGTCAGAAGGGGCCCATTAAAAGGGGTGAGGTGATGCTTTTTAAGATAGAGCTGACAGTGTGTTTGCACTCTGTCACATCCAGTTAGGGGCCCCAGAAATTCAAACACCACCCTGTAACTTTAAAGCTAAAGTAGGCAACATCACACAATGTTGGCTAAAAGTTACAGTTAATAGGTCTGAAAATAGCTTGGGATTCCAGCTTTCCTAAGGTCCAGAAAATAACCGAGATCTAAATGTATTTTGGGAGAACAGAGTTGATCTAAATTGTCAGAAGACCTCTTTTCCCACTTAAGCCCAAAGTCGTGATATACACTGGTGTAATGGAAGGATTTTTCCACTGCCTTATGCAACGTTAGGTCAGACAGACACAAACAGTTTCAATTCTAATACATCAGTCCTTTGCCAAGTTAGAAAGCAAGAGTTATTTGATTGTATCAATAGCAATAATTGCAAACGCTATCCTTATTTGGCTCAACATCCATTACTTCTGGGCCATCGTCCATACCCTGACAATCACTGAACTGCTAAAGAAATCACCAGATGTGGGTGGTTAATGAAAGGTCTGCAATCAGGCAAGTCCATCGTCTGTTGGTCCAAAAAAAAAAAAAAATCTTTCAATTGTACGTCACATAAGCGGCTGTACAAACAGGTCTGACTCAGCCCCGCACAGGGTAAACACAGGGACCTGAGACATCGTTCACAATCTCATAACTTCTGACCACTTTACCTCTGAGGAAAAAAATTCAGGGAATGCACCGTCTCACTCCCCTCTCCTGAGGAAAGCAAAATAGAAATGGTTGCCAGGCTGTATGTGAATAAGAACCAGCGTGTTGATGTAACAGCACACGGACAACCAGATTAAATAAAGATTACTGGTATGATTTTTTTTTTGGGGGGATATACACGAGTGTGTGGATGTTCTTGTGTTGTTATTTTACAGCGTGTTTTCATTTCTTTTTTTTTTATTCTTAGTTATGTGGAATCTGCAGTGTGAACTTCTTCTGGCTTCTGAAGTGGGGAGTGCTGGGAAAACTTCAAGTACCAATAGATCAATGGCCGAACTGGAACATCGCCCCAGATCGCTCAACAAAAAGGCACTGACATTTATACCACAAGGGTTTTGGATTATCACAGAAAATCAGCTCTGTGGCAAATTGAAAGTTTGTGATATTTACATTTTTCTTTTCTTCAAATGGAAAAATCTCCATAAACTTGCACCAATATGACCACTACGAAGCAACTGTGTTTGCTGTGATGGCACTGAAATCCAAAAACAACTTATGTGGTCTTACGCAGCCACTTCCTCTTGTGGTGCCACTTTGGCACTTATTAAAAGAACAAAGCTAAAGCAAATAAAGAAGTAGTCACCCAACTTGAAGAAAAAGAAAAAGCTTGCAAGGGGAAAAAGGGGATCAGACAAATGACACAAATGTTCACAAATGAACAGGGAGACTTTTGCAGATATCACCTGAGGGAGATATTAAACCACAAATACCCAAATCAGTTGGCATTAAATGGTGGTTACCCTTTACCAAGTCTGATTATCCTAAAGAGAAAACAGCAAGCGAGTGTCATGGTCAAACTACACATTATTTCCAGCAGTAAGAACACATCTGGCTTAGACAATCTCCCATTGTTTGCTACATCTGAGAAAAAGCTCTTTTGGACAATGACCAGACATGACTCTTCCCATGCTACATTCATGTATGTATAAACACACGCAGAGGCTATGTTAAATTTGAGGCCAATATTCAAATGGATGGGTAAGATAGCTGTCAGAGAAAGACAAACAGATGATAGATTTTACATGCCTCTCAATTCTAATCAAACGCAATGCTGTATGTAAGCACCAGAGCGTACTAATATCCCACCCTACAAAACAGAAATATTCAAATCAAAATGATCTCCAGTCAGAATCGAATAGCAGCTGCTGAGAGTACAATAAACTAAACACATACTCACCGTTTTACCTCTTTAAAGTTAGTTTTTCTCCTTCAGCTACAAAGATATCATGAAACTAATCTTCAATGATTTTCATCATTACTACTACTACTAAGGGACAAAACTCCAGTTTCCAGAAGACTATATTAATTAACTGTAAAATTAATTAATTAAATTTATTTGGGCAAATATAGAGAACCAATTTAGGCAATATCCAGAAACAAAAAAGTAAGCCATTATCACATTGTTCGTGACACTGACATGATATGAACTAACACTTCCAATGACTTATATATTTGTTTTCCTTAATACTATTGCTCGTTTATTATCTTGTCACTTATTTATATTCGGGGGTCAAAGGGGAAAAACAAATGGAAGATAAATACAATTTAAATAATAATTAAGTGGAACTTCAGATAAAATCTACACATTTACCTGAGTGGTTGAAACAGTAGGAGATGCTAGTTTTACAACTTCATACTACTTGTTTTCTTCTCATTAAAGTAGATAAATGTTAGGTGGTACAGGAGTATGAGACAAATTTTCATATTTTCTTCTAGTTTAATTTTTAATTTAATTCTAAACAATGTTATTATATATATTTTCTGATATTAATTGCTGCCAATATGGTTTATTGGATTTTTGGCAGACTGGGTCCTCCATAGCCAACATCCTATTTACATACCAGTGTAGGAAGACTGCAATGGTTCTGTGGTTACATCTGGGACTGATAGGACTACAGTGGCTTGGTGGGCCCATATGTTATCTAAAAATATTAGTCTCCATGAAAACACCCAGGGGAGCTATCTCAAGTAGTTAATCCTAATCTGTAGACAGGCCTCAAAGAGCCCCAAACTGCTCTGTCTGCACCCAGATTTAACTATTAATCAGGCCTGTCTACAGTGTCTCCACCAGGCGATAACACTTAAATCATAAACTGCACCGTTTTAACATGAAAAGGTGTTTAAATGCAATTAGCTCACCTGAGGGCGTGCATGCGTGCCTAGCCATTCAGCGAACAGACAACATCATTAATAACCTATGAAGTGGATCCCACTTGACTCACCAGTAAACTTTCCAGGTTTATGGCAGATCTGGGGTCTCTGATCATGTCCTCCAGCTTCTTCAGCCGGGTTTCCATCCTCCTCTCGGCGCCCAGCGACATGACTGCGCCGTCGTTGGTGGTTAAAAGTTGGGTTTTAAAAACTAATGAAGAGGCTTTTCCAAACTGTTTGAGTTTACATGTGAACCCTCTTTGTTCCTGGCTAATGGCCGCAGGCCTGGCGGGGCAGCCTTTGGGCTCCCAGCCCACCCAAATCGCTTCCAACAGGAATGGTGTGCACAACGCGGAGAAAATATTCCCAATGCTTCCAAAAACATAAAACTTGCCAAGTGAGAGGGGGCCGTCAGTTAGCAAACCCGCCCGGGTTTAAGCTAGGAATGACGACTTGAACTATCACCTCTCGTTAAGTGGAAGATGCATTTTTTAAACTTGGCGATAAAGTTTGAATTTACCAGCAACAGGCTGCAAAGCAGGGCGTTTTCTTTGCCCCCTTTTTACTCCCCTTTCCTTTTGGGTTTCGACCGCTTGGATTTTTTTTATTTTTTTCTTCCTGGACTTGCTATCTTTAGGAGGGAAAAAATCCGCTTCGTTTCACCCCATTCAACAACGCTTTAGCCCGTTAGAAGTGGAGTTTATCCTCGGTGCTGCCACAAGTCCTCCGAACGGGTAATAACGTCTGTTCTCCCGCGCTGAATTTTTAATAAGCACTCGCTCGCCTCTTCCTGGATTTCTTCTCGCATTTTCGCATTTGTCCTCCTCGCTTCAAGACGTGGACGCCAAAAAAAA